CGCCGAGCTAGCGTGGGGGGCTGCGGAGGAAGAGGGAGGGGGAGAGGGAGGGGGAGAGGAAGGAGGAGGAGGAGGAGGGTCAGAATGGGGTGGAGAAGACCAGCCCGGCTGAGAGAGGAGGGAGCCACAAACTGGTCCCCAGACCGGCACCCTCTCTGCCTCTTGCCCCTCTGGGGGCCCAGGCCTTGCCCGCCAGCGCTGCCGATTCCTAAGTGCACAGGTAGATAAAATGACCAGACTCGGCAGCCGGGACCCTGGCTGTGGGGTCCCAGACATACCACCGGGATCCAGCTGTGGGGCTTCCCCCGGGAAGGCAGCTGGCCCCGCGCAAGCGGCTCCCTTCTGCCCCGGGAGTTGAGAAACCAGGGTCTGGGGGGCCCAGGGCAGCTGCTGGCTGACCGGGAAGAAACGATGGCATGTCCAGGACGGTACCCTCCTCAGACCTTGGCACTGGAGGGGCCAGAGCCAAACACATAACCCAGGCTGGAGGAAAGCCACCTCGGGGCGGGGAGGTGGGTCCCAGGGAAGAAGAAACACCGTGAAACCCCCAGGCCTGGCCTCCTTTCTCCTCTTTGCCCTCAATGGAGAGGCCCCCAGACTGGAAGAGACAAGAAGGCCCACTGCTGGGAACGAGAAGGCCCACAGCCGGGGCAGAGGAAAGATGAGAGAGCCCTGGCAGCTGCTGCCGCACCCCAGAGCCACCCACCTGGGCTTTCTGGGTGCTGATGCAAGGACCACAGGAAGAGGGGAGGGACAGTAGGGCTGGCAGAAACCTCAGCATTCCCTGCTCCTCCACCTGGGTGCCCAGCAGGAAGGGGAGGCCTCCACAGAGGTGGTGCACCAGGGCTGGCAGGGGACCCACGGCCTGTCCTTTCCTTGGACGCCCTGAGCCTGGCACTGGAGCTGATGCTGGGGCAGGCGGGGAGGCCTCTGGCCGGCAGGGTGGTGTTTTTCATCCCAGGATGGTGTTTGGCTACCGGCAGGTGGAAGGGCGGGGGGAGGCAAGTGGGGCTGACCAGATGAACGCAGCCCAACAGGGACCAAGCATTTGCCCAACTTCATTGGCTTTTAAAAAATAAAGAGTAAAGCTCTGGTCGGTGTGGCTCAGTTGGTTGGAGCACCATCCTGTACATCAAGAGGTGGCAGGTTCAATTCCTGGTCAGGGCACATACCCAGGTTGTGGGTTCAATCCCCGGTGGGGGCACGTGCGGGAGGCAACTGATTGATTGATGTTTCACATCGATGTTTCCTTCCTTCTTTCTTTCTCTCTCTCTCCCTCCCTTCCTCTCTCTCTAAAATAAATAAATATATATATAAATAAAGAGTAAAAATAAAAGTCCCAGAAACCTGCCCGTGGCTCCTATTCTTCTGTGAAACTGGCTGTGGAGTCCCAGGCCGGCCAGCCCCCAGGGGCCCTCCCAGAGGGCAGGCCTCTCCCCCAGGAGGGATATCAGTGCTCTGGGAGCCCCGAAGCTTTGCATGATACTGATCAGCTTGAAATCTCATTGGTATATGCCAGGCACTGTCCTAGGTGCTGAGAAACCTGAGTTTATTGGGGTCCCTGACCTCCAGGAATTCATAGCCTAGTGGGGGAAATACTCTGTTTGGGGAACTAGGTGCCACATAGAAAAGAGAATGGGGGAGAAAATACAAGTACTAACATTAACTGAACACCTGCTAACTTCTCCCACGAGGAAGGCCTAGATTACCCCACTTGACCCCACAAGAAACCTAGGAAGTTCTCCTTGTCGCATAGATGAGAAAACGGAGGCTCAGAGAGAACCTGAACTGAGTCACTGAATTGGGACGAGTGGACTCCAAGGCCCTCACACCTGTGTGCCCCGCCACAAGGGGCAGCCTTTTCTGCAAAATGAAAGGCTGGAATGAGGGGTGCGTTCAGGGCCCTTCCACCTTCATGATCTCTGCAAACACCAAGGCCCAAGTAGCAGTGAGCAGCCTGCCCTCTTAGCTGTCCCAGCTAGTCCTGCAGCCTGTCCCTTGGGCCTGCGGGCAGGTGAATCTGGTTGGTGGAGTCAGCTCAGTTGGAAGGTGGGAGGTAGACCCCAGCCAGGAAACTGAGGCACCAGCCTGATGAACCCAGAAGACAGGGTGGGATGACAAGAAAATAGAGATTGCTTTTAAACTCTAACCCTCAATATGCAATGATGGCCCCACATGGAGTCTCGCCCCATAAAGGGGGAAGGATATAAGAAGGCAGCTTCTAAGAATCGAGCACCATCTGTGTGCTCCTGGTCACAAGGTGCATTGAGGAGCCCTCCGCTGACAGGGGTGTCCTGAGAGGGGCCCTGTGGCCACACCCAGCAGGAGGGGCAGCAGCGGGGAGGACCTAAGGACACAGAAAGACAAACACCTCCGAAATCTCGGGGAGCCAGGCATGCAAAGTCATCAAGCAGGTATGGAGAGAAAGCCAGTGACCAAAAAACTGTGCTTGTTGGCCTTTGTTGTAAGCATATTGTAATCCTAACCGCTCTGTTATGACTATAATTCTTGCATGTCTGATTCAAGTCCTCTGGAGTCAGTATTAAGTCAAGCCTGGGGGAAGTTTTTTTCCTGGGAGACATTTGCTGAGCTAAACAAAACCTCCTCCAATCAAGGCTCTGGGACACCTGCCACTGGGCCCTGTGGCTCAAGGACTCCAGCCTTCCCAGCGTCGCCCCTCCCTCACTGCTGTCCTGCGCACAGGGACCACTGCTCATATCTTGCTCAGGCCTCAGCAGGAGACGAGATTCGGAGTTTGAAGGAAGAGAAGAGCCCAAGGTGAAGGGCCCAGACTCCTGCGGGTAATTTGGAATGTCTTGCTCTCTGCAGATGTTCACATTTGTGTGTGTGTGTGTGTGTGTGTGTGCATGTGCATGAGTATATATATATGTGTGCATGTGTGTATGTTGCTAAAGGACAAAGGCTATCTCATTTCTGCCCTGGCTGGTGTGGCCCAGTGGTTAAAGTGTTGGCTCTCACACTGAAGGATCTCAGGTTTGATTCCCTGTAAGGACACATACCTGGGTTGCAGGTTTAATCTCCGTCCCGGTCATGCAGGCGGCAACCAATTAATGTGTCTCTCTCACATTGATGTTTCTCTCTCTCTCTCTCTCTCTCTTCCACTCTCTCTCTAAAAAAAAATAAAATCAATGGAAGGAAAAAGACTATCTCACTTCTTCCATCATAGAGAAATCATAAGCCATAAACCCACCCCCACCCACTGTTTATGTCTGGTCATGAAAGGGACTCCTTACATACGATGAGTTAAAAAATAAACTTTTAGGATATTCATGCTTCTTGAAACTTCTCTGCTGCCACATCACAAACTTTTCAGGGCTGTGGCAAGGGGAAGGGATTAAGTCCTGTGCTCCCACAGCACGGAGTCCTGCTCTGACAGGCAGCCAGGAGGCTCCGCCAGCCAGGCACAGCCCCTGCCACACCCCACAGCCCTCACACCTGTGGTTCCCATGTTAGAAGACTCGGGACATGTCCCCAGCAGGACGGGGGTGAAGGTAGAAAATGACAGTGGGCCAGAATGGCCATGTCCTGGCCCAGGGAGCGATCCCCACCCCTTCCCTGGCAATTCCATGTGCTCGGGCTTCGACATTAAGTCACCTTCCTGGCCCCTCAGGACATGCGGGTGTGTGTGTCCTGCTAACGCTGCCGTGGTACTCAAAAGCCTGGAGCAGCAGCAGCAGCAGCAGCAGCGGTGGCCTCGCCTGGGAACTTGTTAGCAATTTAGACACTCAGGCTCCGTCTGAGACCCTCGGGATCAGAAGCTGCATTTTAGCAAGATGCGTGGCAGTTTATATGCACACAGCAGCGTGAGAAGTTTGTAAGTGTGTGTGACTGGGTGAATGTGTCTAGATAACACTCCTCTTCTCAAAGCACAGAGCCTGGCCCAAATCAGGTGCTCAGTAAAATATTCCCGGACGGCTGTAGATGGGTGTAAGCAGATTCCTAGCATGTGTGACCGTGTATAACACAGTTGGAACCTGATGGTGAGGGGGGAAGTCTCGGAGGACAAGAAAGTAGCTGCAACAGGGCACACACACACAGCTTTCTCAGGCAAGGCTGCGCTGCCTCGGGTACAAGACTAGATTCAGAGAGGCCCGCAGCCAAGGTACAGGAGTCCAGACCAACTCCTAGAGGCAGACAACAAGTGGCCAGAGGAAGTTCAGAAGCTCAGCCATCTGTGGGCATTTGGTAACAGGACCGAAAACCCAGCTTAGGTCAGAGGCCTTTGAAGACATCACGGTGGTTCATGTTCATAACGATGCCCCAGAGCCTTCAGAAATATGAAGCTGTGTCCTTTGCCTTCTGCATAAGATGGCCAGAGGAGCATATCTTAGAAGGATTTTCATTGGGAAATCATTTTGCTTAGAACAATTCACCACCTGATGATGCTCAGATAAAATAATACCGGATCAAAATCTGCTGTCGGATCATGTCATTTCAACTTGGTCAGAGGTTGGGTTGGGAGTTTATGGAGGAATCTCATATAAACCTGCGTGAAATGGATTTTCATCATTTGACATCATGTGAGAGGCAGAGGCCATGGGATTCCCTGTGGTCACCTTGTCCCCAGGGCCCAGAGCTCCACCCGGCATCAGGTCAAGATACCAAAGGGCATTGGTTTGCTCCCTATAACCCAGGAGGTCCACAGTGCAGGGAAGACTCCGGCGCCTTCTAAGAAAAGGACTCCTAACTGCTCTATTCACGTCCATTTATTTGTCTCCCAAAAGCCATGTGCAATCTAGGAGCCCCATTTTCCAGATGAAGAGGCTGCGGCAGAGAAGTGACCTGCTGTACCCCAGGTCCAGGGACAGTCAGTGGTGATTCTGCTCAGCTTCACAGCCCGCGCCCTGTCCGCTCACCACACTGCCATTGCAATGACCGCGTCTACCGCCACGCCTGCTGTTACTTCCCGCTAATGTTCTAGGGACTTGACTTGGCTCATTTAATTTTCAAAAACCCACAGGAAACAAGACTACAGTGGGGCCTTGACTTACGAGTGTCCCGACTAACAAGTTTTTTGAGATACCAGCTGTCTCTCGGCCGATTTTTTGCATTGAGTTGATAGAGTAATTTGGGTTAACGAGCTCCTTAACAAGCTCGGTCTCAGAACGAATTAAACTCGTAAGTCAAGGCGCCACTGTATTATACCCATTTATAGCCAAGGACACTGGGACACAGAGAAGCTATGTAACTTGCCATAGGTCACACAGCGTAACCCAGTCTGACTGACTCTGGAGCTTCCATTCTGAATCACCACAAAAGGGAAAGAGAAAGGGCCCATTTGAAGTAAGTCTGGGCTGTGAACTATTTAAAAAGAAAATTAGGGTTATATGTGTTATAAATTAAAATCCATGCCATCAATGGGAAGTCTGCTTTTTGATTGGCACTGTGCTCGTTGCTGGGGATACAGACACAGAACAAGCTCCCCTGCTACTCAGAGTCTAGAAGGAGACAGGCTGACAAGAAAGGAAGTGAACACAATGCTATTAGTGCCATGAGAAATGTCTTCACAGGGAACAGAAAACCCACAGCAGGCAGTGGTTAAGAATAAGAGAGAATTTAATTAATGGCAATGTACCTTAACAAAAATGCAATTCACGAGTGACACACACAATACCATATCTCATCAAAAGCATCACATCCTTTAACATATAAGGAGCACTAGAATGTAGGCAACTTTCATCAGTAAGAATCACCAGTCTCAACACCACCTGAAATTAAGAATTTATGGCGTTTGAATGAAAAGCAATGACCAGATCCCCATGTGACGCAATCCTGTGCTCACTATGACACTCTATCTACGTCCATGGACACTATGCCATTTGATCCTCAGATGGACTGGTCATCAGGTTTCATCCCCAGTGTGCAGAAGAGGAAACTGGAGCTTGGAGTGCTGAGGACACCTGTCCAAGGTCAAAACTCCTCGTCTTCCAGCTCTAAGTCCAGGGCTGTGCCTACTCCCCGGGTGTATAAAGACCTGGAAGCTACAGAGGGCACAAGAGGACCAGATAAAGTTCACTACTCAAAGACACACTAATCTATGTGTTGTAATGCACGATTGCAGCAAACATCATTTTTCTTGGTGTGGTTTCTGCTGTTTTGTAATCGACAGTCAGTGTCCCTGGATGGAGCAGACATACCACAGCCAGATACTCATTTAGGCAGTTTCCCAGGCTCCCCTGATGACAGGACTTAGACATACAGATTCCCGGGGCCCTTCCCGGCTATTCGGTTCAGTTGGGCAGGGTGTGGCCCTGGAATGTGCCTAGTTTACTAGTGCCCCAGAGCACGGGGAGTGGGCACATTTGCCAAACAGTGAGGTACACACACACACACACACACACACACACACACACACACACACACATACACACACACATTTAGAAGCCCTACTCAAATTTAAATCCTGGCGTTGTTCATAAAGACCTTCACTGAGTTCTGTAGCTTTTCCTTCTTCCCCAGGTGACAAAGATTCAAAAAGTCAGGGAAGGCAGGCAGCAGGGGTGAAACAAAGCTGCAAGGGTCTGGTCTTCTTCCCAGTGAAAGAGGGAGGATGGCAGGGCCCTTGAGGTTTCCCGTGCAACTTGGCATCAGCCCCGTGTCTGTGACACTTGTGGAAAGGTCTAACATAACCACACCTCCAAGGGCTACTGGGAGAGACCCTGCTCTAAGGAATTGGCTAACCCACTGCCACTACGTCCTGGAAAAGGATGCAACGGTGGGCTTGCAGGTCGAGTACTGCTTTGGCTGGGCCATCACATGCCCAGGAAACCAGGTCAGAGGGGTCTGTGCTGCAGGATAACATAGCTCAGTGAATGGCAGCTTCTACCCTGAGAGGAGTAAAAGGGTGCAGTGTGCTTCTGTGGTCTGGGCTTGCTGGCACTGATCCTGGCCTTCTTCTGGTAATGCCACCCGGACTTTCCTAAGGAGAAACAACCCTCCTGCCATGTTTGATTGATCTACTGTAGGCAGGCTGACCCCACCCCCAAATCTGGGCATAGATGAGTGACACAGTCCTAGGCCAATCAGTGAATGCCACCTCTCTGGTTATGGGATGGGTTAGTTCAGGGGTGCCAGGCTCAATTCCAGCCAATGAGCCAAGGACCTAAGTTGTTCTCGGTAGCACTTCCCTTACCTCTCTACCTGGCGTTCTTTTTGGCTGCTGCAGCCACCTTGCTTCTGTGAGGGGCACCTGCCTGAGAAGAAAGCCAATAGGAAGAAAAAGATCTGAGAGAGGGAGGGAGGGCAGGATTGAACTGGTATTATTGTTTCAGGCCCAAATGCAGCCAGGCCTGATCTACTCCAGCCTTTTCAGGAGACAATAATACCTTTTCGTCTTAATTGAGTTGGGTTTCTATACTTTATAACAGAAAGAACACTAATAAGGTAAGAAAATAATTAAAAAATATATTTTTATTGATTTCAGAGAGGAAGAGAGAGATAGAAACATCCCTGATGAGAGAGAATCATTGATCGGCTGCCTCCTGCACGTCTCCCGCACATCTCCTACTGGGGATGTGCCCGCAACCCAGGTACATACCCTTGACCGGAATCGAACCTGGGACCTTTCAGTCCGCAGGCCGACGCTCTATCCACTGAGCCAAACCAGTTTCGGCAGAAAATAATTTAAAAAAAAATATTTTTATTGATTTCAGAGAGGAAGGGAGAGGAAGAGAGAGAGAGAAACATCCCTGATGAGAGAGAATCATTGATCAGCTGCCTCCTGCACGTCCCCCACTGAGGATGGAGCCCATAACCCAGGCATGAGCCGGTAACCCAGGCATATACCCTGACCAGGAATAGACCCATGACCTCCTGGTTCATAGCTTGACTCTCAACCACTGAGCCATGCCAGCTGGGCAAGAAAATAAATATTTTAACTGTGTTAAAAACACACACAGAGAAAAAAAAAAAGCCCTGTTGCTTGCTTATAGGCTGTCCCTGCCAGGGAGCCCAATTGGGGGACATATGGGGGAAGGGAGCTACCCTGGGTTAGAATTTCCCAGTGTTCCCTCCCTTGCAGCCATGACCTGAGAGCTGGGTCCTGCTACCCTTTCTCTCTCTTCACTCCCAAGCTCTGCACTCAGCTCAGAAGGCCAGGTTGTAGCGGCCCCTCCTTAGTGACAGAAAGGGACTGGATTAAACAAACAATTCCTCCCACCCCCAGTGTTTATTGGTTCTGAGTCTTGGTCAAATTCCTGATGAGAGCAGCACCTGGCTCTCCTGAGGAGGGGCCCTGCGGTTCCGTGGAGGGTCTGCAGACTCAGGCTGCCTTCCAGGAGATGGCCTGGTCTATCCCCTCACCCCGAGGAGACCGTGACAGTCCTGGGCTTTGGAGGAGCCTCGGGCTGGAGCAACTCCACCCCTGGCACCTCTGTCCTCTGCCTGCGCTTCTGTGAGAAGAGTGTGCAGTAGGCTGGCCCCTTCTTACCCTTTGAGCTGTGCTGAACCTACACAAACAGAAGCTGCTCAGATCCAGTCTTGTTACCACGTCACTTACAGCCCAGGAGTCTCCCACCTGAAGGTCTTGCCTGGGGCAGCCTCACTTGTCTCCATGCTCCTCTGCCAGTGCCCCGCTCAGAAGCCGACCTGTCCCCTCTAATACGCTGTCACTCCTTAGTGGGGAACCTTTTTCTGCCCAGGGCCATTTGGATATTTATAGCATCATTCCCAGGCCATACAAAATTATCAACTTAAAAATTAGCCTGGCCCTGACTCTTTTGGCTCAGTGGATAGAGTTTTAGCCTGCGGACTGAAGGGTCCCAGGTTCGATTCCGGTCAAGGGCATGTACCTAGGTTGCAGGCACATCCCCAGTAGTAGGGGGTGTGCAGGAGGCAGCTGATCGATGTTTCTCTCTCACCGATGTTTCTAATTCTCTATCCCTCTCTGTAAAAAAATCAATAAAATATATTTTTTAAAAATTAGCCTGCTATATGTGGTCAAACATTTCATTAACTCACCCTAATGCCCTGGCAAAGCCAGACCAAATGATTTCATGGGCCTGCTATGATCCTCGGGCCGAATGTTCCCCACCTCTGCTGTAGAGCAATGAACCAAAGACTGGCCCTCCTTTGGCAACAGCCTTGGGTACAAATGGCGGGAAGACCCCGATTGCACAGATGGGAACAGAGCTTCAGGGGACTGGCAGGGGGAGGAGCTGGCTGCCCTCCAGGCCCCCCTGTGCAGGTCTGCTGAGGTGTCCTTGTCAGTGATAACCCCCTGGGACAGGACACAAACAGCTCACATTCTGTGAAATATTTCTTTCCTCCTGTTTCTTCCAGGGGCAGGTGCCCTCGCCTGAGCAGGGACAGTGAGGTTGGAAGTGGTGGAGGCCCGTCCTCTTGCATGTAGAGCATTTGTCCGCCTCTTTCCCCGCAGCCAGAGGGCAGGCATTCAAAAGCCCCTCACTAGGCCTCTCTTTGCAGACAAACAAATATCATTAATCTTGGTAAAGTGAGTGAGGGCACATTCATCCGTCCAGGCGAGAGAATGAATGCTGTGTCAATAGGAAACTAGTGTTTACCTCTGGCCTTTGCAGCTCGCCCCCGTCCCCGCACTTCCCCCCCCCCCCCCCCCCCTTGCTACAGAAAGCCCAGGGCAGACCAGCCCAAAGGTGGAGCCATAGTCAGAGGAGAGAAAATACCCCACCCCCACCCCCACACCCCCCACTCCAACATGGGAGGCAGGCCTGGGGCTGTGCTGGGGAGGGGGACCAGGTGGCAGAGGGGCCCTGCTGAGAGGAGATCCCTACTGCAGGGAGAGGACAAGAGTCATCGGGCCTCAGACAAGGTGAGAGGTGACAGCAGACCTCAGGTCAGAGCCGCTCATTGGACCGTGAGCCCAGGGAGACACGCTCTCCCACCCGACTCGGTCACACAAAGGTGACGGGAGACTCCTTTTTCTTTCTGTCCACGTGGCCATGACCTCTCCCACAGCAGGCCACGCGCGGCTGCACAGGCGGAAGGGGACGCTGTCACTGACCGAGCTGCTGTTTAGCGCGCACCCACTAACCGCCAGGCACCACGTGTGATGACTACAAATCCCACGAAGCAAGTATTCTGCCTTTTTCTCAGAGATGACACTGCAATGCAGAACCATTCAAGAGGTTAGCTGCAAGGCCATACACAGGGAGGGGGGGATTTGAACCCAGTGTGACTCCACAGCCACACAGTGTGAAGGATCACACGGGAGGTCAAGTGTAAAGACAGGAAGTTGCTGAGAAAGCCCATCAGAGGCATTCTCCTCCCTCCACCCAGCAGGAATGCCTCCTGGTGGGAGGGCGGGGGAGAGGCAGGGCTGGGCCGGCTAACTCGGAGCTTGAGGGTGTGTGCGTGCCTGTGTGTCCCAGGAAAAGAAACCCAACCGGCCGATAAGATCTCTCGTTTCCAGAGCAAAGAACCAATTAAACACAAGGCAGATGTGAGCAAATAAAGCTGTGGCGTCCAGAGAGAAAATCAATACCGGATTATACGTCCTGGCCCAATCATATACCAATTAATACAGAGCGGGTGGGGCTGGGGGCTGGGCACAGGTGAGTCCAGCAGGCTGCAGGGCTGACCTGCCTGCCCCCGGCTGCCCTACCATCCGGCCCTCCTCTGCAGGCCCTGATCCTAAAGGGCCGGTGTCTGAGGTCTCTGGGGGAACCTGTGTGGTTGGGGCGGGGAGGGGCGGGGGGGAGGATAGAAGGAGTCTCCCCTCGGTCATGTGGGCACTAGGGGCGGAAGGAAGAAGGGTGAGGTGGGGGAGAGATGTTGGGAGGCTGGGACCCCCTGGGAAGGGACAGACAGTCAGACCAGGCAGACCGGCTGCTTGACCTTTAATTTGCTACAGAAAAAATAAGGGGCTTGCTTTTAGAAAGTGATAGAAAATTAGGCAAAAATGGGAACACTGGGAAACAAATTTCCACGCCTGAGAAATGATGAGGAAGCCCCTGGCTATTCTGTCCGTGTTTTCGTTAACTCAGAAAGCACAGCCAAGAAGTTAATCATTTTCAAGGGGAGTGATAACAGCAGCACAGGTCGGGTGGCCGTGGGGACGGGGTGGCCCAGAACCTTCCATGGAAGGGCTGCAGGCTCATCACCCGGTGCCAGGGACGAGGTGGCATGGCACACAGCCACCTGCCAGCAGAGTTTTCAGGTAGAGCAAGCCTCCAACCCAGGGAGGTGGCTTTGCAGCAACTGAAGGATGAGTCAAAAGTGCCGGCATCCAGGGAGAGGAAATCTGGCCGTGGGCGCGAGGGCAGTCACAGACGGTGAAGTCCTGCCCTGGTGGGGGCAGGACACGTGGCCCAGAGCAAGCATGCTCTTCCTCCAAAATCCCCAACTCTCTCGGGCAAAGGGGACCCAGCGCTGTTCGGGAAGCAGAGAGCACAAGTGGAAGGAAAGGTGGAGATCAGCGATGAGAAGGCCACCTGCCTCTGTTTCCCCCCAGGAAGCCCCTCTGGCCAGCGCCCCGCCTGCACCTTGACTGAGCCTGGACCGCTTCAGCCCCAGAGGCCCTTTGCACGTGGGAGCTCCGCGGGCCAAGGACTGTTGCATGCCAAAGAAAAATGAAATTTGCTAGCCGAATATTTTTTAGACATTTTGCAAGATGCACGGCCTCCCTGACAATTTTTAATGTACTAACTGCCTGGTCCAGTGAGTTGATTAATTGGTGCTGGAGAGATCAATAAAAAACAGAAAATTAAAACAATTTTAAAGTGATTAAGTAGTTTAACACCTGTCTCCCGTCACGTCAGCGCAGGAAGAAAAATAAAGCAGGTGTCGAAGGGGCCTCCTGAAGCAAGAGAAAACAGCGCCTGCCTTGGAGAAATGACAAATCACAGCTGGTGGATCAATCTGAGTGCAAGCAGCCCTTCCCCGGGCCCACTGCCTCGGCAGCAAGAACCAGGGACCCCAAACGCTGGGCACCTCCCCGGCCACTCCTGTAGAGCCGCTCCTCAAGCGAGGGAGGCAAGTGTCTGTTGAGACCCTGCAGACAGGGTGGGAGGAAGCAAGGTGAGCCCGAGAACACCTTGGCCTAGATCCGGATGGGAGAAGGCACCCGCTAACCTTCTCCTGGCCTCATTTCCAGCCATTCGGAGCTGAGTCTGCAATATGTGTGTGTGTGGGAAGGAGTGGGGGGGGGGGGAGGGAGGGCGGTCAAATGCAATGAGAATGCCTCTGGAAGCCATGGGGTGAACAGAGGAAGTAGTTGTAGCTCACTAGCATCACCAGGGCGTCTTCTGGAAG